CTCCCCACGCTGACCTGCACCGATGCAGCAGGAGGGTAACCAGCCTTTACATAACTGAGCTGATGGACAGGAGGGAAATCAACCGCTGTGAGCTCTCATCCTTCCCAAATCACTCCAATATTTCACCAAACCAGTTCCTAGCTGCCGGCAGCAATTCCTGGGTTTCACACAGCTGCCCTCCATAAGCCTATTTTCAGTTTAAATACCTCAGTTCCTCCCTAAATACCTACTTACAGCTGGAAATACCAACTCCAGGCTCGTGTCCCAACCCTTCCCACACAGGCTGCTTCTGTCCCCAGCAGCTCTGAGCACGACCAAGCGACACCAGTGACAGGAGGGGACAAACCCAGCTCTGATCCAGGACAAGCCCGAATTTCAGAGGGTGAAGTTTCACTACAAGAATTCACTTTCACTTCCCCCAGAGAGCGGATGCTGCGTGGTGCCAGTGTGAAACCAGAAGAAACCACAGGACAAGGGCTGAGGGTGACATTTCCTGTGGCCAATCCCATTCCAAAGGGTGCCAAAGCAGCACGTGACATTCCAGAGCTTTAATTCACATCTAGAAATGCTCTGAACAAACTCAAAAAGCGTCCACAGGGCATCGACAGCACACAAAAAGCAGGGAGATCCTGCTGAGGTCAGCCAGGCTGTGGCACTGCACGTTATTCCCAAGATATCCCCAGGGATGAGCTGTTCCACTGGCAGCAGTTTCATAACCTGCCCTCAAGCACCCAGCTCACCTGCTACACTTTGATTTCTCAACCCATTATCCACCCTCAGTCTGCCAGACCTTTATTTTAAGGCCCAGGCTATAAAAACACTTCACCCCTGGTTTTGATTTTTCTACAGGTCAGTTGCTTTATGATCCTTGCTATGGTTTAATTTAAAATTAATTTTAATTTTTACCCACTGGAATATCCTCATAAACAACAACAGCTCACCCCAGGAACATTGGTGTTTGTAGGACTGTGGCCTGCACGTGGCCAGAGTTTTATCCTAACCCTTAATGTGCTTTTCTCACAGCTCCAGCTCAAATGTTCTCTAAAAGCCACACCTAAAACGGAGATCACACCGAGCAGTGCTTCATGCACAGCCCTGATGAAAGGTTGCTTTTCTCCTCTCCTTCCCAGCGTCTCTCTCTCGGGCATTTAGTGCTGATTTGCCTCTCTGACCAAAGATCCTTTAATCAAAGAAACACAGATCCTCAATTACACTTCTCAGATAATCAGAGCTTTCATGGCTTTCTCCCTGAGAAAGTTTCCTCACAGGCTGACCTTGTCCCTGTGATCCCACGTCAGGATAAAACCTCAGCTCCACAATTCTCAATGAAGCAGCAGGAGCTCCTTTTGAAGACCTCATAACCACTATCAAAGTTTTATTCCTCAGCTCAACATTTGTATATAAACACCCCAAAAAGGATTATGGCACTTGCAAAGCCCTCAGTGCCTTCCAGACTCTTCAGATCTGCTAAGTTTAGATTCCTTTCTTGCACAACTGCTGCACTAACCTCCCCAACGAGTGACATTTTCAGTGCTGCTGCTTTGGCTGAGCAAGATCCAGAGGATGTGAGAGCCAAGAGCATCTCCATCAGCCCAGGCACCAGGTCCCTGCCTCCCAGGATGTGCATTTTGGGTTCAGCAACCCAGAGAGGCTTTAGGACAGCGCTGCATCAGGAGATCAATGGTTGCATTGCTCGAGCTGCAGCATCACGAGGAAACAGAACTTTCCCAAGGGCCCTTCCTAAAAGGTGCCACTTTCAACAAAAACCACCCAAACCACAGCTGGGCAGGCTGAGAGTGCAGAGCCTGCCTGCAGCACGAGCACAAAGTGCTTCAGAACGCTGCACTCCCAGAGAACACTTAAACTGCGCCCATTTGTGCTGCTGGAGTATTATAAATATTTCAGCAGCCCTCAATTTCCCAGCTTGTGCTCCCTACCAAATCCATTGCAGAATAAACAGCCAAGGACTGCTCTGGCTTTCGCGGAGAGCTCGGTGCCATGAGGTCCCTTTTTCACTAACATTTTCAGCTGCTGCTGTACATTCTCATTATAATTTATACAAAGCCGGCTATGTCAGCGTTGTGAAAAACCATCCGGCAAGGGCTCAGAGGCTCCAACCCTGCACGAAGCGTGGGAGGCGCCCCAGCCCCCTCCCGCCCCGGTCACCGTCGGGAGCCGCGGGCAGCCGGGGCCCGCAGCCGGCGGTCGCTGACCGGAGAGCCCCGGCGGTCGCTGCCGCTGACCGGAGAGCCCCGAAGGCGGCCGAGCCCGCCGAGCCCCGCCCGGCCCCGGCCCCCCGAGCCCTCCCAGCCCCGCGGGAGGAGAGGACGCGGCGCCGGCACTGACCGTCATTGGCGGGGACGCCGCTCCTCAGGGCCCGCGCGTCCTCGCGGGGCGCGGCGGCGGTGCCGGTGCCCGGAGGGGCAGGGCCGGGGCCCGGCAGCCGCGCGGGGGACGAGCCGGGCGGCCGCCCGCCCGCCGCCCCCCTACCTTTCCGCCTGAAGAAGGACATAGCGCCGGGGAGGGGGCGAGGCGGCCGCCGGGGCGGGGGAAGGCGGGAGGGAGGGAAGGCAGCGCGCCGGGTCCTATGAATGAGGCTGCTGCGCCCGCCCGCCGCCGCCGCTCCCTCCGCCTCTTCCTCCCGCGGCGGCGCCCGCGGCCGCCATGTTGTCAACAACGGCCCCGCGCCCGCTTCCGGCAGCGCCGCCCGCGCGGCACGGCGGGATGCGGCCGCACTCAACATGGCCGCCCCGGCATCGCGCCCGTCCGCCAATGGGGCCGGGCGGGGCGGCCATGTTGGGTGAGGGCAAAGAGCCCGCGGGGGTCCGGGGAGGGGCAGGGTGGCCATCTTTGATCAGGGCGGAGGGCGCCAGGCGGCGTGAGGTGACGGTCGCCATCTTGACTGAGGGCACGGGTGACCCGGGGACGTTGCGGCAGCTCGGGCGCGTCCCGAGGGCACGGGGACAGAGCCCTGAAAGGAGGGGACAGAGAGCCCGAGGGCGGGGGACAGAGCCCTGAAAGGACGGGACAGATCCCCGAAAGGAGGGGATGACGGGCAGGCGCTGTGCAGGGCCGTGAGAGCCGAGGCGTCCTGGAGAGAGGCCTCAGGGACGTGTCCTCAAATGTCCCCTTCAGCCCTGGGGGCCGCACAGAGGGGCAGACAGACAGACGGACACACGGACAGCCCCGCCCGGCGTGTGAGGGCTCTGCAGAGCCGGTCCCAGTCCTGCAGCCCTGTGGGCTCTGTCTGTGCGGGACACGCGGGGCCGCGGCCGGTGCCGGAATGCGGCGGCTCCTTCCCGCATCCCACGGCCGCTCCCTCATCCCACGGCGGCTCCTTCCCTCATCCCACGGCAGCCCGAGTCCAGCACAGCCAGAAATCCCTGCCGGGCCGCTCTCCACCTGCGGAATCGCTGTCCTATAAGTCAGTTCCGTCTGCGCCCCGAATCCTGCCACAAAAATCCTCTTAATCATCCTCCCGAGGCAAATCTGCTCTTTCCTCACCTGCCCGGGACGTTTGTCACCGTCATACGGCCCTTAGGTTGATCTCTGAGAAGACACTCCTCAGGTTGATCTCTGAGATCTCTTTCTAAAAACTTTACAAACACTTTGTAATGACTGTTATTATAAATTCTGGTTAGTGAGTGTGTGAGAAACTGAGGCACGGAGCCAGAGGGCAGCTCTGCCATGGCCGTGTCACCCCGGATCGATGCAGTGTCGCCCTGTGCCGTGTAACTGTCCTGCCCTTGCTGCCTGAGCCCTGCCAAAGTGATGTAATTAATAATCATTGCCTGAGTTTCTGCGCCTCCTTTCATCCGAGCATTCCAAAGCTCTTTACAAACACTCAGTAATTAAGACTCATAAATTGTAAATGGCATAAAAGGTACACGGGGATCTTCCAGGGCTGGGATGGAGCCGTCTCCTGGGCGGGATGGTGCCGCTGATCAACACCCTGTAGCAATTGCATTTTCTCTTTTGATATTATTTTTGTTAACTGGTGCTCTTTGATACAGTTTTGTACACATGCCCAGAGGCTGGCTGAAGCCTAATGAACTATTCTATATGGTTTCTGCATAATGAATGGAATTATTTAATTGGCACATAACCTCAGAGACTGCTAATAGACTAAAACATTCTGAAGATGAGCAAACTGGAAAGAATGGGATGACTCAGGGAACGCTAAATTAACATATTCTGCCAAAACTTTGCACCCAATCCTCTTGGGTTTCAGGGTATACAGGGGGGCTGAAGAAAGATGCAATGATTGACACAAGAATTTGACATGAATTACTTTCCCTGGACCAAAATTTTCTCTCATTTTTGGGAATTCAGAAGGGCTGAAGCTCCAATCCAGAGCTGCTCCCTCAGCCTTGGACCTGGATCTGAATTGGAAGTGTGAGTGACAGGCAGGTGCTGGAGCATTTAACAGAACATGACAGTTTAATTATCTGAGCAATCAGTTAAATATGACTTCAGGACATGGGTTGGCCAACGTCAGAGAAGCTGAGGGACTCCTCCCTCAATGAAAATATTCAAATTAAAATAAAAAAAAAAAAGCTGTCTCAGTGCTTGATTTTTTTTCCTCTCCACAGCTAGAAAAAGAAGTAAACTTTAATATCTGAAAAGATCTGAATTGAATAATCATGTTTGGACAGATATAATAAAACAGAACAAGTCTTTGATAATTAATCACAGGGCACTGCTCTGCTCAATTACAGCACAAAACCACAAATCTAACACACATTAGAGGCCATTCCCATATCTCCCATCTTTGGGACAGTCCATTTATTCCCATGATGTTGATATTCTCTCATATAGAGAATTCTTACTATTTTGGGAACACAAATACTAAAAATTATGTGAGAAAGGACTTTAACAGTTGAAATCTTACTCTGGAATAAATAATAATGTCCTAAACACATCAGGAGTCAAAGTTTCTGTCTTTGCACAGAAACTCACAGCACCTTCAGTTAGAGACTTGTATTTTACTCCTAATTTTCTTTTTTTTTTAAATGAGAAAACAAGTGTCTGCATGCACACACAGAATTCCTGGCAGGTTTGGCTGTGGCTGACCTCAGTCCATGAACCTCATGGGAACAGGAGGGTTGGTACCTGTGCTGAGCATTTCAAAGCAGGGAACTCTCCCACGTCCCAGGTGAAAATTAACTGCTTTTATTAGAACACTACAATTCCTCCCTGCTTCCTTCCACGGGGCACATTCCCAGGAGGGAGGTTTGTTCAAGCAAGGGGTGAAGAGTCTCTGCCTGACTCCCAGTGGGTGAGTTAGAACTGGAGGTCTGAAGTGTAAAATGGGGTAAAAAGGTACAAAAAAGGTTCACTCCCAGCAGGAAGAGCTGCTTGGTGACCTGCAGGTGTGCTGGACAGAGCTCTGAAGCAGCACTGAGCAGCAAAAGCAGAAAATCTCCCTCTCCACGTCCTGAGCTCTTCCCAGCCCTGCCGTGGCTGCTCCTGCAGGGCTGGAGCCGCTCAGGAATTGTTCTGGACCAGGGAAGGCAAAGGGGCTCGCTGGCACCTCCACCCTGCCCAGATGGCACCGCCAGCGCTCTCTGGGACTCACCTCAGATGACCTTCCTCCAATCCACAGTTCTTGCCATTCTATGGCATCATAAATACTTGGAAAATAATAATTTATTTTAACACCATCTTCTGTTTCTCCGTTCTTTTTTCCTCCACCTTTTGCTTTTCTAGATCCCTCAAGGAGTACAAGAAGCAATGCAGCACATGACAGCAGTCGGGTATTTCTCTAAGCCAGGGATATAGGGGTAAAACAAGGGATTTTATCCCTTCAGAAATTTCCCGAGGTCCCAGGACGAGCAGCATTTCTAAAAGCAGGACACAGACACACCCCGTGGAGCCCAAAGGCTGCATGAGGACAGAACCGCAGCGTTCCGGGGCTTTGCCCGTGCATTCATTCAGCTGTGGGAGCTGAGGATTTGCCGTCGCTGCCGCAGCACTCCGGGCGCGCACCAGGAGAGGGTGCCAAGCCCCCGGCTTGTGCTGCGGGATCTGCGCTTCCCACGACTCGGAGCCCTCTCCTAGCGCTGCGCTTTAAACACCAACCAACGCGCCCTGGATCTAAAGGAAAAACTCTTTTTTTGACCAAAGCTGCCCAAATGTCTTTACCTGTTTCAGCGCTATCGGCAGTAAGTGCTCGAAACCCGCCCGAGGACATCAGCGCAGGATAAAGACATTTTCTGCTACATTTTAAAAAGGATCTGGTTCTTTATGCGGCTGATGGACGTGGGACCGCTCGGGGGAACAGCTGAGCTCCAGGAAACAGAGAAAACCCGTAAGATCTGCGAGGCACAAACATAAACCATCAATCCGTGCTGCGCCGTGAGGTTTAGCAGGAATAAAACCCGATCCGTGAAGTTTTTAGAATGACTGTTATAAAAATCCATCTGCACTGGGAGGCGCAGCTTTTACACCTCAAACAAGCGCAGGCTCCTGGGCAGCCGCTGTGCCTCCAGCATCTTGGAGAAACCTGCGGGATGAGAGGATAACACAGCCCGAGCCCCGAGCGGACCCCGAGCCCGAGACCTCCCTGCACGGCGGGTTTCAATCTAAACCTCGGGTTTCAATCTAAACCTCC